CCCATTCTTCCTCCTCCTCCTTATCTTTTTCCTTCTGATCTCTCCATGCCTTCCCTCATTTTCTCTCTAACTCTCTTTTTTGGTCACAGTTTGCTATATAATTTACCACTTGAAGTACAGAATTTGATGGTTTAAAAAAAAATACTTGCACAAGGGACCAGGGTTCTATCCCCAGCACCACAAGATGCTCCAGCCCTGTCCCCAGGTGCACTGAGCTAGAGACCGAGTCCTGGCGTGGTGGTGCAGTCCTGTAACCCCAGTGCTGGGGAGACTGAAAACAGGAGGATTACTATGAGTCTGAGCTGCATAGTGAGACCCTGTACCAAATACATAAAAAAAATAGATACACAGAGTTTTACAACCATTGCCACAATCAATTATAGAATATTTTCTCTTTTAAGAAGAGAAGCTGTCCTCTGTAGTTATCACTTTCAAATCTACTTATACCCTATATTCAGTCCTGAGCACCAATGTATATTATGTCTCTTTATGCAGTAGTGCCTTGGTTCAAAAATGCTTCTGCTTGAAGATGTGGTCCTTGATTCATTTTGAGTTAACTTTTATATATGATGAGAGGGAAAGATCTAAACTCATTCTCTTGCATATATGTGATGGTTTGTGTCTAGTTGTCCCCCGAAGCTTCATGCAGTCAAGGGGCGGCTTCTGGAGTTTGTGATTGATTCTTGATCCAATGCTGGGATTATGGGTGTGAGTGCCCTGGGGTGGATATGCTGCATTACAATGTGAGGAGGGGAGAGAGGCTGGCTGCCTGCCTGAGCTGCTGCCACTCCTTTTATGCTCTGCTCTTTACCACTGCCATGAAAGGTTGCTCTCTGCCATGTGCCACACTCTTCTTTGGAGCCAGCTGAGTATGCACTGAAACCTTCACTAACTGTGAGCTAAATAAACCTTTTCTTCCTTCATTTTGGGTGTCGGGTATTTGTCCCAGCAGCGAGAGAAGAATAACTGAGAAAATATGGCTATCCAATTGACCATATCTCTGTTTCAGAATGTGGGAGTTGGCCAACTTCTTTCTTTTTTCCTCAAGATTGTTTTCTCTATTCAGGGTCTCTTACAATTCTAAATGAATGTGAGGATCACCTAGCAAATTTCTACAAATACATTATTTGGATTCTAATAGGGATTGCACCGAGTATATAATCAATTTTGAGAGTATTGGCATTTTAATGAATCTTCTGAGCCATGAATATAGGCTATCTTTCCATATTTTTAGGTATTTTTAAATTTCTTTCTTTGTCATCTTCCTAGCCCCTTTAAATTTCTTTCAACAACGTTTTATAATTTTCAGAGTATGTTTTACAATTCTTTTGTCAGAGAATTGTCTTCTTAATTTCTTCTTGGGAATTGCAAATACATAGAAATACACTTTTCTGTGCTAATATTATGTCTTTCAACATTGCTGAACAACTTGTTTACTAGATTTACGGCATTTCCATAGATTCTTTAAATACTTTATAGACACAATCTTGTCATCAGAAAATACAGCTTCTTTTTCTTTCCAACATACTCTCATTTTCTTGATTTCCTCCCTCTTAGCCTTTCTTACAACGCTATTTTTCATCATACCTCTTACCACCACCAATCCAATTAATTACCTAATTATAACTAACCTCACTCATGTGCAAGCTTCCAGAGAACTGATGCTTTCTCTATTCTGTACATTGACTTCCTAGGTTTTAGAATAGGGGCTGACACTTAGTAGGTGCTTCACGGGTATATTCATTTTCTTTCTTTCTTTCTTTCTTTCTTTCTTTCTTTCTTTCTTTCTTTCTTTTTTCTTGGCAGAACTGGGGATCGAACTCAGGCCCTTGTGCTTGCCAGGGAAGCGCTTATTCCACTGAGCCATCTCCCCGGCCCCTATATTCATTTTCTGTTAGGTATCATGGTGAACCCTTGAAAGAGGATGTCCATCTTTCTTTTCTTTCGATCCTCTCAACACCCAGCCCTGCATGGAATTCAAAGCACTCAGCACAGTGCACTAGGATAGACAATCTTTTAGGAGTCATTATGAAGCAATGCAAAAACAAAACTCCTTTCCACTCCTTTCTAACCACTCACAGCAAATCAACTTGTACCACAAATTCTACCCAGGCCCTTATTCTTTCTCTGGCTTTTGTAACTATACCTTTTCTAGGTGTGCTAATTATAGCCCACCTGACAAAGTAGGATAGAAGGACCCTTTTGTGGCCACACAGCAATGTTGGGATCTAAAGGGTCTTTTGAATATTATACTGGTCAAGGGCTCCAGGTTGAGGACTCATTTAAGAATTGTGCAGCCACTGAATTGGACCTGCCCAAAGATCTTCCCACTTTCAACCCCATTCTCTCTCTCCAACAACTTCTCCTTAGTCAGTGTTTCTATTACTTCTTATGAACCATCCTTTAGCACTATTAGAAAAATAGCAGTAATCAGAGAAATGAAAAATAATGGGAGGGGCTTTGGGTAAGGCTTGGAAGAATGCACACCCATGTTTATGGCAGCATAATTTGTCATAGCTAAATCTTGGAAACAACCTAATTGGTCATCAACAGAGGAATGGATTAAAAAAAGATGTGGTATTTTCATACAACGGAGTGCTACACAGCTATAAAGAAAGATAAACTTGAAACTTTTGTAAGTAAATGGATGCAACTGGAGACCATACCCAGAAGTGAAATACATCAGAACCAAAGATGTAAACAATGCATTGTCTTCCTAGTGTAAGAATCTGAAAGAGTAAATAAAATCCAAAAGGTAAAATAGATATTGTGAAAGGCAAAGAAACTGCTCAATAGGACAGAACAACTGGGATGAGGGAAAAGAGAAAAGAAGTGGGAAACACACACACACACACACACACACACACACACACATATATTAGCTAAGATGAGTGTACTACTAATTTTTATTGATTTATTGAAAGGAACAGTTAATGATTAATTTCTGTGACCAATTTCGCATGCTTATGTCTGGCAATCTGAACAACTACTTTGAAGACAGCAATATGCAGTATAACAACCATTGTTGAATTCCTATCATCTCTTTTTTGGAAATTCTATTATTGTTTCTAATGTTTTTAAATTATTTTTTATTCTCTTTAAAATCATAATAATAAAAAGACCCAGCGATGTAGCTCAGCAGACGAAGCACCTGCTTAGGCAAGCCCAGGGACCAGGTTTGAGGCCGCAACGGCCGTGCCCTGGGTACTCTGAGACAGCAAGACCAGGCATGGTGGTGCACGCCTGTTATCCCAGCACTGGAGAGGCTGAAAGCAGGCGGGTCACTACAAATCCGAACTGTGTAGTGAGACTCTATACCAAATACATAAAGTAGTAAATAAATAAATAATAAAATGAAATAAAAAATTAAGCTTAAAAAAAAAAGCATGAGGGGCTGGAGATTTGGCTCAGCAGTAGAATGTTTGCCTAGCCAGCTGGAAGCCCTGGGTCCAGTCCTCAGCACCAAAAACAAAAAATAAACCTCCCCTAAAAAAACAGTTCAGCCAAGAAAATACCGTAAAGTCAAAAAATACCAAAAACCAACAAGGCAACACAAAAAAGAATGTATATTTGGGACTCCATGGCAGAAAGTGCTCAGAATCCAGGCAGGTGGCCAGTAGCTCTGCCCAGAAATGTGCTGTTTATGAGGCTGTATTCCCTCATCCTCTCTGGTCAGAGCAATTGAGAGAAGACATTGTAGGAATGTCTACATTCACCAGTCACTTATTTAATAGATAATTTCAGATAATGCAACAGAGCAAAGTAAATGAGGGATTTTTAGACAAAGACATTTTTTAGACAATTAGGGTGTGATAAACATCATTGGACTCTGGCTTCACTGGACCCACAGTAAGTTCAGGAAAATTAAGAACAATTTACTTGCCAAATAGAAGAAGAAAAGAGAGAGAAAAATGTGAAGTATTCCTAAGAAATGGGGGCAAACAAAAGTGAATACAGATAAGGTCTTCCATAGGGTATTTCTGTATGCTGATAGGTTCTATCTACTTTATTATTATTATTTTTATATGTATTTAGTACAGGGTCTACAGGGTCTCACTACGTAGATAGGACTCATAATGATTCTCCATTTTTCAGCCTCCCAAACGCTGGGATTACAGGTGCGCACCACCACACCCAGTCTCAGTTTTGTCTATTTTATAGAGGCTTCACAACAGAATTATTAAATAAAAGGTGATCTTGTGCTTACTTTGGCAGCACGTATACTAAAACTGGAATGATACAGAGAAGGTTAGCATGGCCCCTGTGCAGGGATGACACTCAAATTCGTGAAGTGTTGCATATTTTCTTAGTAAAAAGTTTATATATGTATGTATATACAAAACAGTTAGGATAGATATACAGCTACTTTCTCTTAGTTCAATGAGAGGAAAGATTTTTACTAACATTGTTTAGACAAGATATCTTGTCTGCATCTTGTCTTCTGAATAACTACTGTGAAGACAACAATATGCAATGTATTAATTATTGTAACTGTCCTATTAACCTGTTTTGAAACTGTCTCACTGCTATTTCTTTCTCATTAAAATTAATTAAAAAATTAAAGAAAAGAAAAAATAAAATATGATCTTAAAACTTAATCGAAAGCACCTGGTGCACTATTATATTTAAAATACTAGACTAAATTTTTATGATTAAGTGCAGAGACCTAAAATAGTAGTTGATGCATTAGGTGCTTAGTATGAGTCAAGCACTATTTGCTCAGTAGCTCTTCTAACTCTGTGATAGATAGTATTTGTTATCTCATTTTGCAGATGAGAAAGGAGAGGCAAGTAATGTTATGAGCAAATTCCCATAGTTATTCTGCCAAAGCTAAATTTGAATTTAAGACACTAATTTCAGAGCCTAGGATGCCACTGAAATTTATTTTCTATTTTGTTAAAGTTTATGATTAATATGCTTCTCAGTATAAAAACTGTCAGCATACAACTATATCCACTGGTAAATAAAATTTTTTCAACTAAAAAAATGTCTCTGTTTATAGGGTACTGAGAATTTACTTACAAGTTGTGGTGATACACAGACAAGGAGCATCAAAGGTGTCCATGAAAGAAGTTTTTTCTCTTTTTTTTTGCTCCGAATGCCTTCAGGGCAGGTTTGGCTGGCTTGAGTTGTGGGGATCGTACCACAGCAACCTGAGCCTGACTGTTTTGTTGAAGCAGCCACTTAAAGAACTGAGCTACGGGGCAGGCCCTCAGTTTTTTCTTTTTTATAATATGAAAATCTCAACATATCCTAAGTATGCAATAACAAATAGTTTGTAGTTGTTTAATAAAAGTGAATTATTTAGCAGCCACTAACAAGAATAAGCACAACAAAAAGCCTCCAGCAATATGGAAACTTTGGAGAATTTTGGAAAATACACTTGCAAACATAACAAATAACAAGCATATAATTTTCTGAAAGGAAGAGAAGCATCTAACTATGGTTCCCATTGGGGCTCAGATAAGGAAGGAAATATGATATTTTAAATATAGTTAGCAAAAATGAACTGTATACAACACTTAAGAATGGTTAAGCAGGTGTGTGGTGTCCCCTGTTTATAATCCTACCACTTGGGAGGTTGAAGCAAGAAGACCACCATGAGGTTTGCAGCCAAACCATAGTGAGTTCAAGGCCAACTTGAGCTACATAGACCCTATCTCAAAAAAAAAAAAAAAGGTCGAGATGGTAAACTTTATGTTATATGTATTTTACCATAATGAATCATAAACATGAGAAATAAGACCCCAGCATGTGTGCTGGGCCTTCTCCTGGGGAACACTGAGACAGCCAGTGAAGCCAGGCGTGGTGGCGTGCCCATAATCCCAGTGCTTAGGAGGCTGAAAACAGGAGAACCACTACAAATCCGTTCTATGTAGTGAGACCCTGTAGACCCTGTAGACCCTGTACTAAATCCATTTATAAAACCATGAGGAATAAGAGACATTTAATTCTCATTTCTACCTTCCTACTGTTGGATATTCATAATAGCAGCTTTATTCTGATGACTAATTCAATATAGACAAGAGAAATATATAAGAAAATTATGAAGGGTCAGAGAGCATTAAAATCCTTTATCATCTGTCTCCAGCTGTATGTTTATCAGTGTCCTGTTCAAAGAGCTCTAAAAGTCACCAATAATTAAACTTATGTGAAGCTTCTAGTGAGTTCATGGACACTTGAAAGATGTCACATGACTAATCCAGCTCCTGAAAACTCCACATCCCATCAGAGAAAGTTCTACTGGATGTATCCGTATAAAAAAGCCAGATTCAACACCCACCTGACATATTTTCCTGGAATTTGTTCCAAATAATCTTGTTTTGAAGAACAGGTAGTTCCTCTGTGCTCTCAGACTGTGCTTCCGAGAACACATTATCCTGGTGTCTTCTTTACTTGGGAAACAATCTCTTCCTAACCTTTTATGGCTTTTGTTTTGTCTCTGCTTATGTCTTCAAAAAGTGAGCAGGAATATAAAAATGCACAGAGAGTATGCCAAGCATTATAAATTGTACATGCCAAGGTTAAAAATGAAACAAGTATCTAAAAGAGAACATTACCTATTTATTAGTTTTATTTGAATTATCCTATCTTATAAGAAAATACTGACTGAGCCAGAGTCCCTAAGATTTCATTCCAACCTGATAGGTTTTAAGTTCTTGTGAATAGGACTGGGGAGATGGCTCAATCTGAGCACCTGCCTGGCAAACACAAGGACTGGGGTTTGATCCCTGGTATCTCATGCCATGCTACCCCTGCCCCACAGCCACTGAGCCAGCCACCAAAGCCAGGCATGGTGGTGCATGCCCGTAATTACAGCACTGGCGAGGCTGAAACAAGGGGATTGCTTCAAGTCCAAGCTGTGTAGTGAGACTCTGTATCAAATACATAAAAACAAACAAACTAAGATCTTGTGAACAAAAAAATCTGGCAAATACTGTGGAGATCATCTACTTTTTAATCCCTGCAGAGGTCAACAGGTAAGAAACAGTGACACTGGCCAGAGAGGAAATGGAAGCGTGTCCCATCTGAGCAGAGTGGCTGCCTCTCAACCCTGGCCTACTAAACTGCAGTAGTCTTTAGGAACCAGCATAGCACAAATGACTCCAGCCCCATGGTCGCCTGACAAGAACCGATGTGGTGAGAACATCTCCTGATTTTTCAGGGGAAGCTGGAAATCTACATATGTAAATGAGTCTAAGTTTTAAAGTTGGCAGTTAATTCAAAAACTTTGAAAGCATCGTGAGGGCCAAATAAAACATGTCTCTTGGCTGAATTGAGATGTGGCCTCAAATGGAGTCCAACTGTCTTGGTTTTACAGAAGAGGCAGCCAAAATGCAGAGGGAAGAGGAGGTATTTGCACAGGACCTCACGACTGGCTTGGGGGAGGCAGAGACGTGATATGGCTCACCCTTTAGACTCATCCTCTCTCCTTGACCTAATAAGGAGGCAGCTCAGTTCCACAAGCACACGGTGGGCCTCCCCTTCCCACCCTAGCACATGACAGTGAGCGTCCTGCCTGCAGTGGACCAGAACACAGACGGAGGAGCTCGCTGAGGAGCTACACCCACTCTAGGTTTCCTCCTGACTGCAGCTGAGGTGTCTGCCTGTTTTGAGTGGAAAAGAAAAGACAAAAAGGAAAGAAAAACTGATAAAAGAAAACTTTTATCCTGAGACAGTCTAAGTGAAAAATGTGAAAGTCAATACTTTGTGGTAACATTATTTTTTAAACCGCTATAGTAATACATTGGTTCACACACACTTCTGTTTAAGAACAATAGGTTTGCAAACAGAAGTGTTCAACAAGGGCCAGGCAAATAGCTCAGCAGATTAAAATACCCGCAAGCAGGTGCAGGGGCCAGGGTTCAACCCCCAGGCCTGCCATCCTGGCCTCACCCCCAGGGAGCGCTGAGACAGCAGTGGAGACTGGGTGTGGTGGTGCACACCTGTAATTCCAGCTCTTGGGAGACTTTAAACAGGTGGACCACTATGAGTCCTATCTAGTAGTGAGACTCTGAACACCCTGTAGACCCTTCCCTGAAAATACAAAAAAAAAAAAAAAAAAAAAAAAAAAAAAAAAAAAAAAAAAAAAAAAGAAAGAAATGTTCAACAAAATTTGCTTCCATTCTTAAACTGTACAGCTCCAATGGGGTTGCGCCTTCCTCTAGTCAAGATCACAGTCAAAGATAGACCTGGGCACACTTGCTATAAAGCTGTTTAATGTGCTTGTTAAAAAAGCACTCTGGGCTGACGAGATAGCTTGGTGGTCCAACATGCCGGCTTAGGCAAGTTTAGGCAAGTGCACAGGGACCGCAGTTCAATCCCCTGCACCACATGGCACTCCAGCCCTGTCTCCAGGGCGGGCTGAGATAAAAAAAAAAAAAAAAAAAAAAAAAGCACTCATAGTACTATACAGTATTATTCCAGCTAGCATGGCTCCCTAGGAAGTACAGAGCAGGTATGGTGGATAAGGAGCGCCTAGAGTGGTAATGGAGATGACCAGAATGTACACAATAGAGATGAAGGAGGCAGGGATGTGCAGAGGGGCGATGGTCAGAAGGTTTTTGAAAAAGACAGTCATTGAATTAAAGAAGGAAACTAGAAAATCACTAGTGTGGTATTGATTTGACTGATCTGGCCTCACAGTACAAGACAGTGAAGTTGACAATCTCAACATTTTTGAAGACTGAGAATGGCATCAAAGGAGCTGATGCGGCAAAAGGAGTAGCGATGTTCACCAAGGAGCAGACACAAGGGATAGAGGAGGTGGAAAAGTTTCTGTTAGAGTTTGAATGAGAAAGAGCTGGCAGGTGGTGGCGTTAGTGAAGCTATGATCTTCAGAAAAGCCAGAAAATTGCATAATGACTTACTGCAAGAAAACCCCTCTAGGGGCCGGGAAGATAGCTCAGTAGAATAAGTGCTTGCCTGGCAAGCGTTAAGGGCCTGAGTTCAATCCCAGGTTCCACAAAAGAAAAGAAAAGGAAGAAAAGAAAAGCTCTCTAAAAGCACAATAAGTGGGGCCAGGGAGATAGCTCAGTAGAATAAGCGCTTGCCTGGTAAGCACAAGGGCCTGAGTTCAATCCCTGGTTCTGCAAAAAAAAAACAAAACTAAAAGCACAATAAGTGATGAACTTAGAGTCAGCAGAGGGTGGTGTGATAAAATCTACAAGAAAAGTTACATTCACAATGTGCTAAGACAAGGTGAGGCTTCCAGTTCTTACAAAGGCACTGCAGAAGCCCAAAAGAAAGAACTCACAGAATTCCTGAAGGCAGAAGGTTCTGTCATTCAACAAGTGCTCAACTCAA